ATGGGCGGTTTTTGGTTCCGCATTAGAGATGCCCTAAGTAAGTAATTATATTTTCGTAGAAATGAGTTAGAAATTGCACATTCACGTGTGCATTCTTCTCTTTCATTGGTCATATAATGATTATGTATGTTGTCTCACCACAACAATGGCTTGGTGCTCTTATTGGCAACCTTCAACACACAAACTTGATCTATATTTTGAACCATGACACCTTTTCCATCACATCCTTTGCTGACATCCTGCAAGGTTTTTGGTGAGATTGCTGAATATATGGATATGGAATCAATGACGACGGATCAGATTGATGAACAACCTTGCCGGCCACCATCATGGTTGGACCGTATCCATATGTTCGACATTGCAGATCCGCATTTTGCTTGTACTCCAGCCTCTAATATCTCTGCCTTCGATGCCTGTCGGCCTCCTCTTCTCCAGCCTTGGCCACACCAGAGGCGGACATGAATGACGACCTCACTGATGCGGTGGTGGGGAGAGAAACCTCGGACCGAAGGGGCGCAACTATGTCTCGTCTTTAGTGAGTCGAGTCTTCCGACTGGCTGAAGCGCGCGAGCATATGGGTCGGCCCAGGTTCGCGGGTACTATAGTGCCTTATTTTCTTTTCTTTTTTTTCACATTTTTATTTTGTTTTTTTATTACATTTTAAATTTTGTTTACACTTTCAAATAGTCTAAACATATATATTACAAAAATAGACTTTAGATAATACTTCTAAAAATGTTAATCATGCATTTGAAAAATGTTGGATGTGTATACAAAAAATGTTGAACAAGTATTTGAAAAAATGTGATGATATATATAAAAATGTTGAGTATTTGAGAAAATATTGTACAAGTATTTGAAAAATGTTGAACAAGTATTTGAATAATGTTGAACACGTATTTGAAAAAATATTGATCAAGTACTTGAAAAATCTTGAACCAATATTAAAAAAAATGATGATCATATATATAAGAATGTAGAATGAAGAACAAAAAGTAGGAAAACCCAAAAAAGATGAAAACCAAAGAAGAAACAAAAGACCAAAGAAAAAAAGAAAAAAAAAAGAGGAAACAAATGCAACAAGAATGAAAACGGAGAAGATAAAAGAAAAAAACGAAAAACCAATCTGGAGAGAACCGGCTGCACTCAATTCAAGTAGAACTGTAGAACACGTCCTCACACACACACACACACACACACACACACACACACACACACACACACACACACACACATATATATCATGAATTGCCATGTTGGCTAGTAGCGCTAGTAGCTCCCAATTTCCTTCTCTTTTTCGCATTAACTGTGCGTGAAAATTGGCCGGCCCTGAGATTGAAGCCAGGGCCGCATCATGTTCATTGGTACAGCTCAATCGAAATTATTTGGCCGGGATGAAGGGCCATATTCATACATTGGCACATCGTGAGATTCTGTGTTTTTGGCCCGTATTGCCAGGTAAAGCAATTCGGCCCAGATCTTAAAAGCAGATTGTTTTTGTAGCGGCAGAGATGCTTCGGCGGTGCACCGACGACCCGACGATGCTCCATTGCAGCACTAAGTATGCTCCGGCAGCTCAGCTGGCATAGAGAATGAGCCGATCTCAGGAGCGATCCAAAGCTGCAACTGTTTATCACTGCCTTCTTTTTAGCGGTCTGCTTCTCGGTAACCTGAGGCAAGCGGGTGGCTAAGAAGCATGTTGAGAATCAACCATCGATCAGTTCCTCATCATCCATTGTTGAGGCTCTGACAAAAGAAACAATAACACACAACATAAATATAATGCTTGCTATGGGCATATGCAACGAAACTGCATTAGATGAGCATGAAACTTATTTTCGATACCAGCTGACCAAAACATAAAAAACTTGTGCTTCTGAGAAAACCTATCAAAAAAAGGAAAGAGTCATGAAGCTGTGCTGCACTACTATATAATTAGGTGAAGACAAACAAACCCTGGAAAAAGAAAGCCATGAATCTGTGCTGCAATGCTATACAACGTCAATCTTAAAAAAAAACACTAGAAAAAATAAACTGATTTTGCATCACAGCCTTG